CCTCGAATATAATTGGGCCGGTGATCCTACAAAGAGATGTTCTATTACTGGTTATTTTTTTCTTTTGGGCGATTCTTCTACTTTTTAACACAATAAGAAACAAACAGTAGTCTCTCGTTCTAGTATTGAAGTTGAGTATTGAGCTATTTTTTATAATACTGATGAATATATTCGTTTTCGCTGGTTATTAAATGATATGTGTATTTTGCCTCAGTTCGCTACGACAATTATTTTGATAATTGGAGTGCCATTCAGATTGTTCATAATGATGTCTTCCAAGAACATAAGAAGCATATGAGACAGATCGTCATCTTGTGAGTCAACACATTCGTAATGGTACGGTGCAACTTGCTTCCATTTTATCAATCGACCACCCTGCTCATATCTTCACTAAACTTCTTTCTCTTGGATGTTTTCGAGATCTTATTTCCTTACTCAAGATTGCTCTACTACTTTATCTTGAGATTGAGGGGATATTAAGATTCAAGAGATATTTGTCATATTTCCTAACCATATTATTTACCATATTTATAGATAGTTAGGATGTATTTTTATGGGTATTAGTTATTCAATGGAATATATACCCAAATTCAGTGATATTTCATACTTTACCATTTTCAGTCGAGTTTGTTTGAGAGGGACGACTCCAGTATCAGCAATTAAAACTGTGGCGCTGAAAAACATGCTATTAATAAATTCTTCATTAAACTTTATATGCTTTTACAGAACTGCACTTGAAAGAGGGACTACTACTGTTATGTTTTGCAATAATTTCATGGCAGTACCATTCTTTATTGCCTGCCTGCCTGGCTGAGAAGGGGACACCCTTCATTTCTGACCACCTTAGCCAACAGATATCTTCAAATACTTCAAATAGAAAATATACCACCAACAAAAATTACCAACAATAAGTATATGTAGAATTGATCTCCAGTAGGAACGGATCCAGTATCGGATTAAAAGCCTGGCTAATACGTAAAAAAAATAAAAATTACACAAGAAAATTTTTTTACATAAATTTTTTTTTTTTTGTTTCTACTAAACAAAATTGAATGGGCTGGTAGCCTGGTCCAGCCCCCCACCAAATGGAGAGTATGAAAGTTTATTTGAAGGATATAGAAGCAATTGTATGGCACAATGGTTGGCTATACGCCTATACGGTCTTCATATAGAAGCATATTCCGCGCTTAAGTGTTACCCTAAATTAGCTTGAGTGGACCCGGCATCTTTTGTCAACGTTGACGTTACGTTTTTCAGGGTCAACAATATTTATAGATAGCTAGGATATATTTTTATGGCTACTAGTTATTCAATGGAATATATACACAAATTCATTGTTCCTTCATATTTTATCATTTTGAATCGAGTTTGTCTGAGAGGGACAACTCCAGCATCAGCAATTAAAACTGTGGCGCTGAAAAACATGCTATTAATAAATTCTTCATTAACATTTATATGCTTTTGCAGAACTGCACTGGAAAAATTAGGGACTACTACTGTTATGTTTTGCAATAATTCACAGCGGTACCATTTTTTAATGACAATTAATAAATTCTTCACGAACATTTATATGCATTTGCAGAACTGCACTGGAAAAATTAGGGACTACTACTGTTATGCTTTGCAATAATTTCACAGCTGTACCATTTTTTAATGCCTGCCTGTGAAGGGGCCACCTTCATTTCTGACCACCTTAGCCAACAGATATCTTCAAATACTCCAAATAGAAAATCTAACACCAACAAAAATTGAGTGTAGATCGGATATAATAATATATAAAAGTACCAACTATAAGTATACGTAGAATTGATCTCGTGCACACGCTGAGCACGATAAAGTGAGAAGTTTTTATCATACTCACTAGGGGCAGAGATCGATCAGGAAAAATATTTAGTGTTGGAGAAAAAAAAAAGAAAAATTATGTCCCACTTGCGAACTAGGTTGATAGATAGTGTAAAAGTTTATTCAATATTAAGATGGGAAATTTAATGCAAATTATATTAGGACTTTGATCTGGTTGCTATAGATTTTCTTGTAATCTGACTCCAGATTTATGGAGAACAATGCTTTAGTTTTTTGTTTTTTTTTTACTTATTTTTCTTATCTCATACTTAAAAGATAACTTCCATGGAATCTAAAATTGAAGATGAACTGGCATCTTAAATGTCAAGAAAATGAAGATGAACTGGCATCTTAAACGTCAAGAAAATGAAGATGAAAAACAGAAAAAGAAACTCTATATCTACATGATTGTTACAACTTGTAATATGGGCTCTAAGAAAACAAATTATGGTACGTTTTACTAATAATGAATAGACATATGTCACAATAAAGTAGTAAATTCTACTCGTGTCGTCTTCTCTTTCCAGATTGATATTATGGGTCCAAATCGGAGCTCAAACATCTCACCTACACTACTACATCTTTCCCTTTTCGATCCAATTCATTCAACCATCTGTTCTACATCATTTATTAGATAATTAGAACAAAAACCAAAAGAAATGTGTTCGTCGGATAATCCATTCTACTTGATACAAGTCGACTCGACTCGATTTACACATCCAAGTGAAGTGAATAGGATAAGCCGGAAAGGGTACGGTAATGGCTGTTTTTGACCTAATCATCAATGCTTTCTAGTTTGATGCCTTGAAGCAACAATTGGGCCCAAGAAAAACGATATATCCCAACAAAGATACAAAACAGTTATGATGATTTATTGCTGTCACTAAATTTTCATGCATAAATACAAGAATTCGTACACTTTTGCTCAATTTTTTGTCACTTTCATACCGAGGCATTCTACCTTACAGTAATAATAGTGGATGGAGTTGAACATTTCAAATTACAGGAATATTCCATTCACCATTTTCAGGACATTTGAGTCGCGATACATAGAAGTGTGAAACAAATCATGTTCTGTCTATAAGTATTTAGGCTCGGGCTCGAATGGGGCTACCATTTTGGCCTGACACAAATTATAGACGTTTTCGTTTAAGTTGAACTGTGAATGTATAATGTCTTTGTAACTCCGTTAACACCCTTTGGAGGCTAGTACTGGAAAACACCCTTTGGATGTTGAGTTGGCAGTATCTGATTTGTACATTTTTTTTTTCCGAACTGGCAAACTGCCAATGAAACTCTCTCAAGTGTCTATTTGTATGAATTCTATGAAACTTTTCGTGTATGTGCATCATTACTCCATTAGCAATTTCAGGGGAAAAAAAACATTTAGCCGGTGTGATGGTCTTAAAATGAAGATTATTAGCAATTCTGTAACTTTGAAAATTCAAAATCTCAATAAAATACAAAGCAAACTGGCCCACACTTGATTTCATCACTGACATTGCATAATGTCTATTTCCCCACTTAATTTTGATTCCCTTTTTACCCTTGATTTTACACGTGAAAAGACTCGATTGCATGCATTTGATTTGTATTTACTATAAATGTGGCAAAGACATGCCAGATTTTGTTGGGCAAGTGGGGTGTGTGAAATGCTTAACCAATGTTATTGTTTCCTGGGACTTACACAATCCAAAATAAGTAGGGGTCATAAAAGGGCCGAGTAGCTCTTCAGCTCGACTTGTCAAAGCTCAGCTCATGGACGTCTACGAGCTCCAACCGAGCTGGGGTTCGTTCGGCATGCCAAGCATGAGCTCACTAATGGCTCTTGGACACAGCCCACGAGCCTAAAGTTACGAGCTCGTGGGGCTTGTAAAAAAGTGAACAAGAAAGTCAAAAATTTTTTTTTTAAAAAGTATTCGAGCTCGTGAGCCGAGCTTGAGCACAAGAGCTCGGCTAATGCTTGAACGAGCTGACAAGCCGAGCTCGTGAGTAGATGGACCGCAGGCTCGGCCCATTGCTACTGCTTTAAATAAGTTATTGTTTCAAATTATTTTCTTCGTATAGAGCAAATTTTTTTTTAAATAATACTACTTGTACATAAATAGTTACATAATGATTTATATACAAATGAGATGTAAAAAAAAAAAGAGGAATTTTTTTTTTTATTTGGTTGAATAAATTCTGACTCAATCATATATCACTATATCATGGGTTGGTAAATCATCATATAAACATATTATGTACATGTAGTACAATCGAAGTTTTTTTAGAGCCTTGTATGGCTCGATTGCTATTTTTTGCAATATAACTTAACTATTTTTTTTATTTTTACGAAGATTTGAGATCTTTTACTTGTTTATGTTTACAATTGAAGGATCCACTTGTACACTAAAGCTAGTTATATTTTGGCCCTTGTTTGCCCCCCATTATATCTCATTACATTACATTAAATTTTTCTCTCTTCATCTCAACCATACATTCATCAAATAAAATAATAATACACACAAATCTAAAACTTTTCAACCNATATCTCATTACATTACATTAAATTTTTCTCTCTCTTCATCTCAACCATACATTCATCAAATAAAATAATAATACACACAAATCTAAAACTTTTCAACCACACATCTCCCATCAATCACTATTCTAAAAATTTTCAACCCCCTAAAAATCTACAATAATGGGGGCCAAACAGGGGCTTGAAGAATAACTTAGATTGTCATGAAAGATATAGAGAAGTATGTTTGAAATCACTTTAAAAAGTCTTGTATATAACATTATTTGTTGTTCATGTGATAATAGACCATGCACTTTGAAATCTATATGTAAACTAAAGTAGAAATACATATACTAGCACTACAGTTTTTTAAAAAACTGGCGAGGCTCAACAATAAGAATCTATACCATTTAAATTAATTGCACATGGCTTAACAGTTCCATTTTAAGCCGGACCACATGAGATTCAGGCTGCAGGAGAAAAGCAAGAAGCAACTAGCTCAGTCAGAGTTAAGCATACAAGTAAGCCAAGAGAAGTAGGATTTCGGATTAACCAAGTAATCACTGAAGTCTAGAAACCATTTAACAGAACACAATCCACTATTTAGGAGATAAACCTACAAGTCTATAACAACTCAAATAATCTGTTGTCAGAATCACTTTGCAAGCATCATCCTCACAAACTCCTCATAATTCACTTGGCCATCGCCATCCACATCTGCTTCTCGTATCATCTCGTCCACTTCTTCATCTGTCAACTTCTCCCCAAGGTTTGTCATCACGTGACGAAGCTGCAAATTTTTTACACTACGAAAATGAGAATGAAGAATATGAATCGAATCCAAAACGCTGTAACCTAACAGCGCAACTGAGAAATTGGTACGGTGAGTTTTAAAGGGAAGAAAGGGAGAGACCTCTGCAGCAGAAATAAAGCCATTTTGATCCTTGTCAAAGACCTTGAAAGCTTCTTTCAGTTCTTCCTCCGAGTCAGTATCCTTCCACAAATAAACTAAGTTTATGTTTCTTGACGTATTTGTTCTGGTTTATCAAAATGAAACTGGAATTAAGCTTATTAACTATTTTGATACTCTAAATGGAACAACCAGTAGTACTAACATGTTATTGGGACTTGTATGGTCCCAAAAGGATAAATTAAGCTTCTTTATTAGTAACAATATCTTCAACAAATGATATATGCACATAAGTTTTTCCTGTGAGCATGCCCAAACTGGAACTTTAATAACCATTAATAGATTTTCAAGAAACTAGAAGCAAAATGCTACATTTATACTATATATCTTCACCAGTTTCCCATGGCCAGTTGTCATGGCGAGAGCGCATTCAATTCATGCAAGTACATTTGATTTAATAAGGGAAAGAAAAAATTGAAGAAAGTTCCCCCGGTGATATATATATAGAAGTGTTTAATCCTTAACTGGAAAATGCTAAGTTGAAACAGCTACCTTATTCTATGCATATGCATCTTAAGCAGCTGTTAATTTGATAAATAAACTGAAATTTCTAGTATAACATCAGTTAGAATATCAAATATACAGAGACAGACCATCAGCAGCAGTAAGAAACAAAACTATAGGTAACTTTCGGTATAAAATGATGTCATTTAAAGACATTCAGAAACTAGGCAATGGTATTTGTGGTAGAATATAGGATACCAAGATGTAATTTGTCCACATCCGACAAATATTACCATGCTAAATTCTCATTTCACTTTTCTGATTCAAAACTAAGGATTTCCAGATAGATGATAATTACCACTAAGAAGCCATAATTCTAAGAAACAAATACAAGCCACCACCATCCCCACAGTTGAAAGAAGAAAAAAGAAGTATTAGACAGATACCACAGATTCTAACCAACCAAAGGTGGAATGAATTTACCTTCATTTTCCGAGCCATCAAATTCAAGAACTCAGGAAAATCAATTGTACCATTTTGATCAGCATCAACTTCATTGATCATATCTTGCAGTTCAGCTTCCGTGGGATTCTGCCCTAGTGATCTCATAACTGTTCCTAACTCTTTACTGGTTATACAACCTATAAAATTAATTTTGACATTGAACGTTATATCAAAGCATTTTTACAAAGAATGCAACATAATAATTTTATCTTACAATGCAATTATACAAGCTAATTACATGTATAAGTGAAGGAATACAAATATGAAACTATGAGCATGTTTGGTACACCTTAAAATCCAATTAAAATTGAAAATATAGCCGTTATTGGGTCTCACTCGTCTAATAAAAGGCAACAATAACGGCTAATTTTTCAATTTTAATCCAATTTTAATCTCTATTGAACACGCCCTATGTCCCAAAATTGCCAATAAGTAATCCATACCAAAAAGTTTATTGACTCTGGAATATTTCACTATGTGCCTGTAAAGATCAATTAACTTATTTAGAGTTTGATCAAGCTGCTCAGTGCAAGCATCTGGTTCTCTTTAAATGGATTTACCATGACTTTTCCAAGTTTAACCGTGCTTCATGAATCCCACGTGAACACCATCTTGACATTGCATGCATTTACCACACATTCTATGTATTTCAATCAAAAGCGTCAAAGATGTGTATAATCCATGTTTTGACACTTCCTTTGCCACACTATACCCATGCCTAACACTACATGTGTGTCTGAAACTGACACTAGTTGCTTTCAAACACCAATCCATAAATTACATTTAACAAGGTGCATCTTTCAGTTTGGAAAAAAAATGCAACTTCCATGGTGTAGTTTTCCAAATGTAATATATATATTCTTTATTTAAAGTGCATCATTTTATTGAATTTATTCTAACCATTTTCGAATGTCAAATTTATGTAAAAGCTATTAAAACGTCCTAATAGTAGCTTACTACTAGTCTACTATATTACTGAGATGCCTCGTAAATTGTGTCCTGAGTCCAGACGGTTGACTGAATTCTCCAAAAGTTTGACAGTTAAATGTCTGGCACCTACAATAATACCCGTGTCTCACACTTGTATTCTGGAAGTGAACTTTTATTAAAACCTAAAACAAGAGACTGATACCCTCATTCAGGAAAATCCTACCATGGAGTGGGACTCTGGGAACTCAAACCATTCAAATAATAAGCAGTTTTCACTCACTCGCGATTGTAATTGGTGGCCCATATCTCCACACACAATGCAAGAGGAAGGGGGGAGGTTTAGTTGGTTGGGGAAAATGGAACCTTAGTGAAATTTCATTTTCGACATAACAATAATAAGAATTAACCAAATATAAATGCAATTACGCAAAAGGAGCATTTGATAGGCCGGCACACAATCCAATCCAACCTGACCTGCCACATAACTAGAACCTGGAAAACCGAATATCACTCGGAACACCCAAGCAATTACCCCGAACCAGATTAAGAACTGATAGACAATTGAACAGACTACTCACCGAAAACCTCAAGTGATGGGTTGGAGACTAGAAATACACAAGTAAAAAATAGTCCAAGAAGAGTTAAAACAACAATTCAACAAGCACTTGTACGAGGAAATAAATTTCCTTCTCATTTTATTTAGTTGCCTTCGTGAAATACAATAACCAAAAAGCAACCTAAAATCCATGTGATCCTAGATTTCAGTAACAAAAATAAAATCCATCATTTCCGATACCTTAGAAAATCGAAATTATTTTCAAATAGTTTTGAAATAAAAAGCGCGCCAGTGTGAAACTTTTCTTCTTACAAATCAGGAAAAAACATAAATCTAGTCCCAAAACCGAGAAATAATAAGAAACGTTCCAAAACAAGTACAGAACTGGTAATTAAATGATTAATTAAAATTCAAAAAAAATTCAAAAATACATATAGTCATATACCATCGCCATCCTTATCAAAAAGGCTGAAGGCTTCCTTGAACTCAGCGATCTGCTCCTCCGTCAACTGTTCTGCCATTTTTTTTTTTAAACGCAGAGAACTTCCAAAAAACTTGGTTGTGCAGTTTAACAGAGGGTTTTGATTTTCAATAATGCTCCTCGAACACTGATGTGGTCACTTAAAAGTTTTTTTTTTTTTTTAATTTTTAAAAAAGATCCGACCCTTTTTCCACCTAACCCGGCCCATTCCACCTTCCATTACTTTTTCACGAATTATGATGCCCAAAATCAATTCATTTGAAAACTCCACCTGCGAACTCGAACCCGCGAAATAAAATTTGGCTTGCTGCGTCAGCGGACTTCGTGTACAATGTACGACCACCTCCTTTCCACCTTAATAATTTTCGACCAACAAACATCCACATCTCTCCAATGTTAACTCGAACTTGAAAATATCCGATTTACCCCAATATAGAACGCGACCGTGCCTCCAACTTAGGCAATTGCGGTGCTATAGGGGTCGAAGAAATGACAGAGAAAGGTAATTTCCATAATATTTTGAGTCTGAAGTGTTTGAAAATCTAAGCAATTTTGGTATGAATGTGAAAAATTTCCTATTGATTAACATGTTATTTTACTTCTATTATAATGAAATCAGATATTCATTAACATATTATTAATACTCGAAATTTAATTTTGTTGTAACGCTGAACATATTCCCATTCAGGATGTTGTAGGAAAAGAACTGTTGGAAATATCGGATGACAATGTTTTTGGAGAATCCAGTAATGAGAACAATATGGACAATATGATCAGATTAGAAGACGATATTGTCCATGAGATGGTACGATTATGCCTGACGTGGGTATGAAGTTCAAAAATGAAAAAGAGCTCTTTGAATTTTACATGAAATATTCATATGACGTGGGTTTTCTGGTTAGGAGAAGGAATTCCAGAAAGGGTGAGGATGGAGCAATGAGATACATTACGTTGACATGTTGTCATGAGGGACAAAGAAAAATCGCTTATTTGATACTGCAACCAACAATTCAAACAAGTTGCAAAGTAAGGCTGACTGCTTCTTCAGATATTGGTAGAATATGGAAAATTTGCACATTCTATCTCGAATACAATCATAATACAAGTCCTTTGAAATTCAGATTGTATCTATGCAATCGAGAATTGAGTGCACATGTGAGACGCAAGCTTGAAGTGAAAGATATGTTCGAAATTCATTTGCACAAGAGTTAAAACTATGTATTTGTTGAAACATGTGAGTATGAGAATATGACTTACATAGAAAAGGATTGCCGAGATTATGTTGAACAAGTGGGGTGATTGAGACTTGTTAAATGAGACGTCGCGGCAATATAATCTTATTTTTCACAAATGCAAGCACGATGCTCGTGGTTTTACTTTTGTATGGATTTAGATGAAAAGCCTCAGCTTAAGAATCCTTTTTGGGGCAGATAACAAATGTAGGCAAGCTTATAAGGAGTTCGGGGATGTAGTATTTTTTATACCACTTATCTCACTAATAAATACGATGTACCTTTTGCCCCATTTGTTGGAGTAAATCATCACGAGCAGTCAACACTTCTTGGATGTAGTTAGCTATCAAATGAAGATACAGATGCATTTGTGTGGTTGTTCAGAACATAGACACAGTGGTCAAGCTCCCAATGGAATTATTATCGATCAAGATAGAGCTATGCAAAATGCAATTCAAATAGTATTTCCAAATATAAGGCATAGATTGCATTTGTGGCACTTATTGAAGAAGTTGCTTAAAAAGTTTTGGTACCATGTTGCCAAAGGTTCAATTTTTACTTATATACACAGATTAGTGTATGATACATAGATTGTTGAAGAATTTGAAGAAGGTTGGAGGGTTATGCTCGATACATATAACATACATGATAATGAATGGTTGTTAGGGTTGTTTGAGAACATGGATCCTTGTGTGCCATGTTATTCGAATCGGCTTTTTGGGTAGGGATGTCTGCAACTCAACGCAGTGAGAATATGAATACGTTCTTCAATAGGTATGTATATTCTAAGATGTCGTAGAAGTAGTTCGTTGAACAATATGAATAAGCATTACAAAATAAACTGGAAAAGGAATTCCAAGTAGGATTTTAAGTCTTACTCATAGATGGTGCCCTGTGCCAACAAAATATGAAATAGAAAGGCAATTTCAGGCAGTGTATACTATTTCGAAGTTTCAAGAATTTCAAGATGAGAAAATTGGGAAGGTGTACTGTGATGTGATATTTACATCAGATGAATGTTCGGAGAAGACATATGAGGTATAGAAGGATGTCATTTACGAACAAAATGATAGGAAGAAAAAGTTTTCGATCACATTTTGTACAGAAGACTGCGATATTATTTGCAATTGTCACCTATTCGAGTTTAATGGAATTTTTTGCAGACATGCTATATCAGTGTTGATGCATAATGATGTCACTTCACTATCAGAAAGGTACATATTGAGGAGATAGAGAAGATATGTTAGTAAAGCTCACACAAGGGTCATTGTAAACTACGACGATCAGGTTAACACTCTTAGCCAGTTGAGGTATGATAGAATGTATGAAGTGTTTGCTATGTTGGGAGACATTATCTCATATGACAAAGAGCGAACTCGTGCAATAATAGATTGGATTCGATTGCAATCTAAAAACATAGTGTCTACGAAGTCTGAGTTGTGGAAGTAATAGCTTTTTCCCAGTCTAGTTTGCATTTAGGTTCCCAATGTAGAGCATCACATGATACAGGCAGCAGTAGCATAAAAGATCCTAAATGCTCAAAAAGGAAGGGCACACCAAAGAAACTACGTAATAAAAGTCTACTGAAATCAAGATCGAAGAAAACAAAGGTCATTTTTATTTCAAATTTTTTTGTCCATTTGTCCGAATGAATATCAAATATCAATTATTCCCATGTCATGCAGGCAACATCGACTTCAAGCAAAGGACAAAGACCAAGAGTGAGGAAAAAAATCTTGGACATTATGCACGTCTCCCGTAACAAGCACAATATTCGATACCCACATCGTTCTCATATTCACAAACTATATTTGTAAGTATTTATTATTGTTCAATGTATTGGAGGCATTTTTTAATTCAATTTTCATTTCATGTAGGGTAATGAGAAAAGTCACGCACTAACACAACAATTGTCATCTTCAAATTTCATTCTCACGTCAACTTCAAATGTTTTAGTCAATTATCAAGGTAAGTATATAGTTTCAAATAGGGATGACAATGGGCCGGGGCGGGACGGGACGGGGCGGGGCGGGCTCAGGGTGGCCTCCCATGTCCCCTTCTCCGAGAGGTAATTTCCCGTCGTACCCACCCTGTTACCCGTTTAAGGCGGGGTCTTTCCCCGTTTAATACCCGATTTTTTTAAATTCATTTTATTGTCCTCATTCATTAAAGTGATATAATAACGTATTTTTTTAAATTATTGTTAAAACTTAAATAATCCAAATATATTTGATACACTAAAACTTTTATTATTTTTCATATTTTTTAGATAATCTTAGTTGCTATTTTTTTTAGAACTAATGAAATTTCGTAAAGTTTTTTTTCATTTAAATTATTGAATTCTAAAAATTAAAATAAAAATTAAACAAGCACGAAGCGGGACGTGGCAAGGCAAGGCGGGGCGGGGCGGG